CAGGTTGCTTACATTTATGGTGATACTTGAACCAAATCTTTGTTATATTAATATATGGCATTCTTGCTCTGATTCCAGTAGCATTTTTTCATACTGAAATTTAATGGATGGCTTTTAATTTGTTTAAATACTATTGTCAGAGCAACAGTATGTGCTTAGTGCCCATGTATGTGCCCCTTTAAATCCCTATCACTTGTGTAGGTTTTTTTCCCCTTCAGTCAGCTCTGACTAGAACAAGTTTAAATGGTTGCAGTTTGCATTAGTCAATCACTCCCATTTGATCCAACTTAAAATGATGTAACACCTGCTTGTATTAGAAGAGGAGTTCTTAATAGGAACAAATGTAAGGGACAGTTAGTTTTTTAATGTACAGTTTGAGCCTCTTAATTGAGAGCACAATTAAAGGTAGCTTTATCAAACCTTCAGGAACCCTTTTAACTGTCTAGAATTCCTTCTCCCATTTTTGAAAAAGGCAAAATAAAACCTCTTAGGAATAAATTAATAGATACAAAGTAAACAATAAACACACACCGAAAGTGCATTAATGTAGTCATGCCTTCTGCATGTGTTTAGATCAAACCTGAAGATTCTATGAGAATGTGGTGGTCAAAAGAAGAGCTGTAAGTGTACTTGGCCACTTGAATACTGATGGTAATGCAGGTAAATAATCACAGGGTTGATGAGGCTAATTAATCAGTGCTGGCCTTATTTCACTTTATATAACATAGTTATATAGCAAAAATAAGATTTGTTTGGGTTTCAATAACGTATTTTTTCCTTATATAGATAATTCCAGATCCTGCAGGAAAAATGAAGTATTTTAATAAAGTGAATTGACTTCTTTCTTCTAAATATACAACTAAGAAGCTGCCAATAAAGTTTTGATTTTGATAATTGCAAGAGTGTTTATTTGTGCAAGAATCCTAATGACATTTGATCTGTGTGAGTGGGGTTGAGGGGTTCTCCCTAAGTAGAATGATGGCACTAAGATGGTAAAGCACGTTTGTCATTTTGTCATTTTTACTTCAGCAGATAAAATTTTCAATCTCAAGAAACTAAGTTTCACATTTCAGGGAATTATTCGGCCTGTATTGTATGATCAGATTCAATAATTCACCCTTTCAATATTCTGTGATTACAGTGAGACCCATGAGAGCTAACACACAGAAATAAATATAAAGAGAGATAGAGATATAGCGTGGGCGGTTTCTGAAGCATCCAGTTCCTTTGATGCTTAGAAGGTGCATCGGGCAAGGTGAAAATTGATTTCAGAATTGATTATTGGATACTGTTGTTATTGCATAGTATTGTTATGCATACTATTGCATACTGTTGTTATTGAAAGAAATAATGCAAAGTAAATTTCATTGATTCTATACATTTCCTTCATAGTGAACATGTTTTTAATTATGTTAGATGAATTTCAGAGCCTACTCAGTTCAATTATTCAGGCTAGCTAACAACCAGAAATCAATAAACTAAATACCAAACACTGCATTGTAATACTAGATTTATACAGTTGTCATAGCTGCCTATTCTCAGAGCATGTCTCCTTTGAGGCATGGCTATGCTGCAAATTTTCACCAGGGGGAGTTGCCTTTTCAGTGTCAGAAGTGCTACAGCTAAGGAAAAGTACCCTAACTAATGCAAACTTCAAGATACAGCTAGCTTTTAAACAATCCTGCCAAGCATAGTCTGCCCAACACAGTCTAATGAACTTTACTAATTTTACAATATTTATGTAATTCCCACTAATAAAGTTCTCAAGATGACTTACAGTAAACAAGAATGGAAATACAGAAAAGTGTTCCAGTTGGTTCCCTTGTGGCACAGATATGCAGTGAACCTGACATGCAATGTAGGCATTTTTGCAGAATAAAAGTGTAGAGTAAGGGAGAATATGATCACTGAATTGTATGGTTCACAAATGACTTATACCCTTAAAAATCAAAACAGGATGCAATATTAAACTGCACTCTCAAATAGCAGCAAGCCAAGTCAAAGCAAATGCACTTGTTTAAATAATGTTCTCAATGACCCACCTAGTCAACAGATAGATCCAGATGATCATTAAGGATATCCAACGTCAGCTATACACAGACCTTGAGGTTATGAAGGTACTGAGTAACTGGCAGTAACTGCAGACAAAGGTGACTGCAGCCTACTCACCAGGACACAAGACCCACTGCCTAATACCTTTATTGCTTGGAAAAGAATTCATAATCTCCACACACAGCAACTTAGATTGGATTTCAGCTAGATCTGAGTAGCCATTTGCAAATGGAGCCTCATAGGACCTTTCTACGTATGGACAGGATGAAGAGGGTCTCCTGGAAATGGACTGAAAAGGCTTCCCTCCAGATGATACACTGTAGAACATTGCTCCCAAATGGCCTGTCCCTATTGCATGTCACTGCTGACACTTCTGAATCAACCTAAAACCAATCTTTATTCACTGCAAGTTCACACTGTAGGAAAGATCAGGAGGGATAGGAAAGAGCTGGTTTTCATGGAAGTTTTCCATTGCTAATTTTCTCAATGAAAACCCCAAGAAGCTCACATTTTGTTGGAAGATAATCTGAAAAGCATCATCTAAACCAAATACATATCTATGTGAACACAGAACTTAAAAACAGACAAAATATTCTTGTAGAAAGTGTAACTGACAGGAACAGATACATTGTTTCAGTAGCATACACACTTATATTTATTGTATATATAAAATGTAAAATATACACATTTTCAGTAAAGTGTTTTTGTATCTGGCTGAGAGTGCATCAAAGACTGAATTCATGAGACGTTCTTGCTTAGTTTGAGAAAGTTGCAATAAACTTTCTGTGGCAGCCATACCTGCCTATAGTTCCTTCGAAAAAATTCCTGTCTGACCCGATCTGGATTTGGCCCAGGCAACAGCTACTCACACAGTTTGTCTGTCTGTCTGTTTGTTGGTTTTAAGCTATGGAGCAACATTTACAGTCCTACCACAAGTCAGGGGATTGGTAGAAATATGTGCCATCAGGGTCATGAAGGCCTTTAACCTTAGAGGAGCTTTTATCATCTCTTTTAGAATGGACACCCCATGGATGAGATGCTACATAAGGCAGCATAAAGGCCTTAATGCATCTGAATTGACCTGTAAGCCTCTACAAGTCAGTGGTAGTAAATGCTTAAAGGCAAACGTAAATTAAGTTCAATGGAGATACCTCCTCTGAACCAAAAAAACTGGAAGATTTCATCCACCTTCGTATTTGATGACTTTCACTGCTAGTTTCATGGAATTACCTTTCTTCATTTTGCCAATGACTTGTGATGGTTACAGTACTATATTAATTCTTTTGCACAAAAGGAAGGCATGCATAAAATATAATAAATAAATTAACCTACAATACAGTAAATAACAAATTAACCTGCATAAAAAGTAGTAACAAAATTTGGATAGAAACCTGTGCTTTGGAGGATTCTGCTTTCATGATACTATTTTAAGAGTAAAAATGTTCTCTCATCTCCTTCTGGTAAGCAGCATGCCTGAAGTAAACCTCTTTCCAAATGTAGCATTTTGCTATGGTGCTGTGCTCTTATTATGCACTGTCTTCTTTCATAGCTGAATCAAAATGCCGCTTCCCATCCAAATACAGCATCGATTCTGAAATGAAAAGCAGAGCATCAGGGCATCTGTTGCAATACTTCTTGAACTAAAGGCATATATAATGACACTGTTCAAGCACCTCAATATGGTCAGCTAGTTGACATTTCACGGGTTTCTTTACTTTTCATTTATTCAGATTTATTATATTTATATCCTAACTTTTATTTACAAGCAACTCAAGGCAACTTAGGCTGTCTTCCTCCTTGCTATTTTACCCTTACAACAACTTTGTGAACTTGGTTAGGCTGAAAGTCAATGACTGGCCCAAAGCCAACCAGTGAACTTGTTGGTTGAATAGGAAAAACAACCTAGATCCACCAAGTCCCAGTCCAACACTCTTAACCACGACACTCCACTGGCTTTCACATGGTTTTCACATATGGTCATATGGTTTTCATATGGTTGCTCCCAGAGTTAAGATAAAGCACATGCTACTCAATATTCATTATTGTTAAGAATACTTAAGTAATTCCTTCTTTCATTTAGGAGAGTTCCTATGAAGAAAATGGAGAGTAAAGAAGTAGACAGACCAATATTTTAAGATACTAAAAATGGAATACGAACCACTGACCTAAATGCAAATAGTATTTAAACTACAGGAGCACTAAAAACTGAATGCATACTATATCATAACTACTGTTCCCTAGGCTAGATAAATGAACCCAGGTGGAGAGAGAGGGGAAAGGGAATATATATATAGGGAGGCATAAACTACCAAAGTGAATTCCTGCTGGGCATATGAACCAACCAAGCCATTACTTTCACAAAACACTGAAACTCATCACACCATGTTACACACAGAGTTGCAATGGGGCATCCAAATAGCTACTCACCACCATATGTCTTGGGGACAACATCTGGTATCACCTTATCTAACATAAAAGTGAAATGGAAGACATTTGTGGTATGGTGTACTCTGGTATCTGGATCATAAACCTCACTGTGCACCCGAACCTGGATGTAATTTTTTTCAGTATAGCATACCTGTAAAAACATTTGGATGAAAAAGTTACTGGGTTTGCAAATTCAAAGGTGAACAAAGCAGACATGACATTTTATGTTTGAAAATGGAGGTTGGGACATGCTCACTGTCAGAGTGATTTCAGTGATTTATACTGATACAGTCTATAAAACGCTTGATAAAACAAAGCTATTACCTGAGAAGAAAGTAGTAATAATGATCCAATTTCAACTGGTTTTTGAAACATAATATCATCTACGGCTACCACATAAGGCCTGATATTTCTGGAGAACAAAAATATACATTTTTAAGGTGATGAGAGAATTTCTGCATTCTAAATTACATACAAAATTAGGAATTACAGCAACATTATAGGTATTTCCTGGGATTCCAAGTAGAAATTAATACCATGAAATAGAAGCTCAGTGAGGAACATTTCACAAATTCCTATACTACTGATTTTCAGGCTTAGATGATAGAAACCATGCTAAAAGCATCAAAATCACCATCTTGTATAGCCAAAGGCTCATCAGCTCCTGCTGAGCTTTTCCTAAATTCCAACTCATCTTCAAATGTTTTTATTGTACAAGGACATACATACACAGTATAAAGGCTTTATTATTTCACAGAGCTAAAATCACCTCAGAATACTCCTTATGAGGGGCTGATTTCACAACACATACACTATGGGAAATACATATTAACATAGCAATCAGGCTGCAGACAGGTGTGATTACAGAACAGTATGAAATACAATATGGAATGTCATATTCTTCTCAACTTGACCAACTTGACAGTACTACTTGTGAAAAACTGCCACAGTCTTGAATGTTAAGGTAGTATCCATGGACAAGCTGACACTACTCAGAAAAAGCTGGAAAGAAATGTATTAAGATGGCCAACAAAATTGGCTTATTCCTCAGAGGGCTGACAGTCGAGAATTAGCATAAAATCTCAATTACTGCAGAGTCATGCCATCTGTAATTGTGTGTGCACTTTGCAAACCTGAAGCTATTATCCACATCCATTGCCACTTGACAAACAGCATTAAGTGAGCCTTGATACTGCATTGCACCAATCTAGAACCAATTTTGGCATACCATTCCAGTGTTTTCACAGTCTGAGCTTTCACTCATGTACCCTCTACAAGCCAGGTCTTATCAAATTGGCCGAAAGATCATTGCATGCATCACTAATAGGGATCTGTAAAGCAAATAACTTCCTGGGTCCCTGTGCAGTCTGCTCCTTGCACACTTTGTACAGCATGAACAGGTAGGGCAGTTCTTAACAACCAAACCAAAGAGAAGAGGAAACCTGGGAAGACAACCAGGTAAGCCTCTCCTCCAGACTATAAAACTTGCTGGAAGGGGTCATACATATTGCTGGTTTACAACCTACCCATAGCTGTAGGCACAAGCCCATCCAAGTTCATATGCCTTTCTCATGAGAAATCCCCCAAAGATTCTGTTGAAAATGTTACGTTCCTATTTTCAGAAACACAAACAATTATTATACACTTACTTAGAACATTCTGCCTAAAAAGCTGTCTTCATTTCCAGTTCTCCACCAAAGTGTGGATAAAACAAGTAATTAGCAGCAGTTCACACAGCTAGAAAAACATTAGACCCAAAAGCATAAAACCTGCAATCCCAGCTTATGGCCTGCAGGCACATTAACCAACTTGGCCAGGATAGCAGCAGCATATGTTATTTTCTAGAACAGGAATGAAAAACCTACAATAACATCTCTGGTCGTATCTCTATGTACAACTCAAGGGTTGATTTTGTGAGTGCTCCAGATTTTATCCCTCCTCCACATATGTGCCTCTGTCTTTGTTGGTTCTACTTTTTAAATGTATGGTTTTAGGCTGGTGTGTTTCAAATGGATTGCTTTAATTGTGGAATTTTGTCAACTAAACTTTCAGAGATATTTGCACCCCTTTGGGAGCTTTTAAATTGTGGTGCCAGGTAAGATTGAAGGGGAGTGTGTGATTAATATCCTTAATACTGACTGAAAAATAATAAAGAAATGGCTCACAGTGGAAGTTGCAGAACCACTAAATATTGATTCTTATTATTAAGAAAGAAAACAATTCTAGCTACATTGTATTTTCTGGCACTGTAAGTTACAACCCTAAATGTCTATGTTCATAGTGGTATTTTTACTACTGGTGCAACTACTACCACTACTACTTCATTACATTATAGAATGTATATACTGCTTTCCTGTTTAAACCATGAGGAAATTTGACTCATGGCCCAATCCTAAAATACACTGCATTATGAAAGAGAACAACTGTCTTTACAGCAGACAGACTCAGTGATCAATGAGACTCGGACCAAATAGTTATGCTAACAATAAAAAGTATGCAGGGGTATGTGCATGCTGTTGTTATTTATTTTTATTTCTATTTTATATATACTGCACTGTGAGCCACCCAAAGAACCTCCGGCTATGGGGCAGCATACAAATGCGATAAACTGATCGATAGATAGATAGATAGATAGATAGATAGATAGATAGATAGATAGATATGCATCATGCGCAGACACACAATTGATCCTGTCAGTATGTTCAAAGCACATACCAGTACACAGGAGCTATTTTACAGATTCCAACAATGACCAAGCTTTGCTTTTTGGTTGCTAGACTGCAAAGCATACAGCCCAACTGGGGAGCCTCACTGGAGCCTATCTGAATGGGTTGCTACAGCACAATGCAGCTGCCTTGCATGTATGCCATGGCTTTTACTAAGGCCAGACAAAAGCTGGACCCATTCAGTAAATTTTGGGGCACAGGTGGTCCAGTCTCTTCAAGGCCATAATTCACATTGACACAAAACTGGGAAGACAAAAGGATGCAGAAAAGAAAAAAGTTATTTCTTAATATGTCAAATGATATTAGAAGACATTTGAGTGTTTCTGCCATTATGTTGCTAGAAGCAACCAACCAGTAATGCTTATATGATATGATTTGTGGACTTCCTCAGGTAGAAATAACTTTAGAATAATGCAGGCATAAAACATATCAAATAAGATTAAAGAATAAACTGACTTCTGAAGAGACCTTGGGACAAATTGCTTGATCATGAACAATTATCAAAGCTTCTCTCCTACATCAAAGTTGCAATTTGAACTGCAAAATATCTATTACAGAAACCATCACCTTGGATCAGGAGACGAATATCTATTTACCAAGAGCAAAAAGAGCCTAACTCATATATTTGCCCCTGATGCAGCTCTGCAAATACCTGAGGATGGCAAATCTCCAAACTCTTCAATTTTGTATCTTCCATCCACATGGAGTTGGGTGGCAACAAGCGACTACGAAAACTCACCGTTCTATGAAAAGAGAGGAGAGTTCAGATGGTGAAGGACAGGCATCATCCTAGTGTTACCAAGCAAGCTTTTGCCTAACTTCAGGGCTTCAGAGAACCATCCCTGCCCTGCCTCTGTTGCTAAAATTGAAAAAAAAAGTGGTGACATTGTTTGAAAACCAGGTGCACAGGAAAATACCCTTGTTCAGAAACAGAAATGCACTACTAGGTACAGAAACAAGGCACCTTTTTCAAGCTGTTCTTTCTTTTTTTCTTCTTTTTTTGCCACAGCAATGTTAGTAGCAGCAGCAAAAAGGTGGAAGAGGGTGCAAAATAGGTCAAGTGAACCTTGTGTTTCCCACCCCAGCCTAACAAGACTGAAATCATTCCATCTCCCTCTCCAGACAGAAACTGGGAGTGAGCGCCACGTACATTTCTCCTCCAGCTCAACTCTCTCCATGCAGGAATGAATGCCCAAACAGGGAATAAAATAATGTGCTTAGACTGGAAAAGCCTGGATCCTGATTAGTAGCCAAGAAATTCACTGAGGACACTTCTATACTCATCCTTTTCTCTGGAACTACCACGTGCTGTTCATTATGGAGCATCCAAATGACATCTCTGAACTGCTAGACTTCCATTACTTTCTGCATCTCTCTTCCCATATTTTTCAATATGTGACTTGTGACATGGCCATGTATGGCCATTTCTTAATGAAATGCAACTGTTTCTCCAGTTTGTCCAGACTGGACAAAGTGCTATGAAGGCTTCAGAAGGCTCCTCTGCTTTTCAATGAAAGACTGGCTCTCTGAAGATAAAGAAAGTTGTTTTTATGGCTTCCTCACTGGCAGAACAATGAGTTATTTCCTCTTGAGTAGCTTCTCTGTGAGTTGGTCCAGTGGATGGCTGTGAGAACTCTTAAGACCCACTGGGGTGTAGTGACTAGAATGTCAGACTAGGACCACAAAGAGCCAAGTTCAAATCCCCGCTCAGCCATGAAAATCACTAGAAGAGGACCCAGCTACTACCTCATAGCCTAACTTGCCTTAGAGGACCGCTGAGAAGATAAAAAGGAAGGGAAATCATTTATGTGGCTCTGAACACCTTTATATGTATAATACAAATGTAATAAATAAATAAAGGAATATTCAATGTTGTGTGCCCACACCCCATTTTAATGCCATCTTAGCTAATTGCAGAAAGGCAATATCTTAGGAGTGCTAACTGGTTTTAGCAGGGAAGCTACTTGGGTGATCTTGGCTTCATCCCTCCTCTCCCAGAGACATTTGTGAAAATAAATAGCATGGCCATATGTTTGCTGTCCAGCACTGCTTAGAGGAGAGGAGAGACAAGGGTCATAAAAATAAACTTCATAAATCTTCCCTGATGCTGCATATTAATGTCCGTTTCTCCAGCACTTTCAAAACCCAGGATTAGGGAAAACCTTGAGGTCATGCATTGCAGATTCCCTTAGTTCCGGCAGTCACTTCTGCATGTGGCATGAGGAGGAGAAATAACAACAGAACAATTAACTTTACATGTATCTTAATTAGATATGAAATCAATTTCATTCACATAATTAATGTGTTTGGCCTTGAGTCACAAGGGCAGCCCCATCTAGGCATCTGTTGACAGTGTTAGGCAGCCTCCATTTTTTCATAGTTTTTCTGGTTCTCTTCTATGAAACGTTAACACACACTTCAGAACTGAGCAGTCGAGGCTATTTCGTTTTATCAAAAACACAACATGAAAACAAGTGACTATGAGCAAACTACCTGTCCATTTTCTTTGCTTGTTCCCTTTTTTTTTCTTTTTCTTTTGGAGGATGGGACGGGGGTTTACTCTATTAGAGGAAGCCTGAATGTGTTGGGTTTTTTCCTGCATCTTTAGGAAGCTCATGATAGCTGTGTTCAGTTATGGAATTTGCTGGCAGAAGAAATGCTGATGACTATTGCTTTACATGGTTTTAAAAGGCAATTGAACAAACCAGTAAAGAATATGCCTCTCAGTGAGTTATGGGGGCTGTATTTATTTATTTTTATTTATTTATATTGCGATTTATTTCCTGCCTTTTTCCTACAAAGGGCTCAAGGCAGCTTACATCATCTCTCCTCCTCCATCTTATCCCCACAACAACCCTGTGAGGTAGGTTGGGCTGAGAGTCTGTGACTGGCCCAAAGTCACCCAGTTGGCTCCATGGCTGAGTGGGGACTAGAACCCAGATCGCCTGAGTCCCAGTCCCATGCTCTTAACGACTACACCACTATTTACTAGGGACACATTTCCTGTGTCTAGTTTCCCAGCACCACCCAGTTAGCCACTATGAGAAACTGAATTCTGGATTAGATAGGCCTTTGGCTCTTACATTTACATATGCAGGACCTGCAGTGTGGAGGGATCTCATTCAGAGTTCCAGCCAACCATGCCCTCTTCCAGGACACTATTCCATTCCCCTTTACCCTCAGTTTCTTTGTGTGGGAGGGGTGTCCTTCTCAAGCCATTCAACTTTCTATGGCCACTGAGCATGTTTGCTTCCCACTGGTTGCCCTTTAATTTGTTCAAAAGTTTCTTTGCATTTCTGCAAGCTTTTGGGTTTACTCTAGTAATACTCTCCTCTTGTGCTTGGATGGCACTGTTTTGACTAGCTACACTCAAAGAGTTGTGTTTGCCATTAGTACACAGCGGGAATGTACAACAGGTGGACTACTTGTGGCCTGCTGGAAATTTCTGTAACTTCACTTCAACAAATTGCTGCCAAAAGCTGAGTGCAGGCACATTTTCACTTTAAAACAAGGCATCCAGGGGCCACATATCTTGTTTTAATTAAAATCTGTACTCCCCAAGGGCTTCCAAGAGTCCAATTATACATTAAAACAAGAAATCCACCCCTCTCCCCAGTGGGGCTTGTTTTAGTGCGGGGGATGGGGTGTTTTAGCAGCAATGTGGTGGCAATAATTACACTTGGGGAACATATGGGGCAAACTGCCCCCTGGAACCTTGGAGGTTCCCTGTCCTGGCATATAAGATGGAAAGTTGGGAAAGTTTGAACTATGCTAATTCCTTTGCAATTATTACATGGTATAACTTTGGCACGAATATGGAACAGCAAATCTTCTATAAGTGAGGACAAATAACTGAGAATAAGAATGATCACTTGTCACCTTTAAAAAATGCAAAATCAGAAATACTCTAAGCAATCATCGTAAGCATTAACCATTCCAGTGTCTACCTTGAGTCCAGTGTATTAAGGAATAAGTTGTGGATAATGTTTCTTTCATCTGCAGTAGGAGCCATTTTTAGCAAGGAGGCCCGAGAGGAATCAATTCTTCTGACCTTGTTCACTAATCAATACATGAAAAATAGAACATAAAAGCAATAAAAAGTTAATGGGTTTAAATCACCTCCCACAGCAATATCCAACCCCTTTTATGTCAGCAGATAATGATGCACTACTGGCTATGGATGTTGGGAGCTGCAGTTCAACGAATCCGGAATGGGCAATATTGGGTGCTTACATTTAGAAAATGTAAACCATATCAGGAAAAAAAGGTGGTGCCTATTGCTTACCTTATTCACTGAAGAGACAGCATTAAGTTAAAATCAACAGCAATATGGGAGTAGTCTCTGGGTGCATAATGCGTAATGTGAAGCTGCTTGCTCAAGCACTTGTGCAACAGGTCACACAAATGTAGTGCACTATTGGTTGCACAGTAGCCTGCACAAGCATAATGCACAAGTACTCATGCAGCTACACTTAACAGAAATGTAACTTTAGTTGGAGCCTCCTCTCGTGCATAGTTCAGAACCTCACTTCTCTTGGCGCAACATTATTTGCACTAATGGAATAACACAGTTGTATATTGTCCAATAGGTTTAAATGATACAAACACATGTTCAAAACTAAATATTCAAAGATATTTTATAGCTATCAACATAAGTTCATCTGTGTAGGAAGCCATTTACAGATACATTATTTTCAAACATTAGTTTATTTATTATTTATTTAAAACATTTCTATGCTGCCCCCATCGCAACAAAGCCTCGGAGCGGCTCACAACAAAAACAAAAACATACAAAATTATACAAAAATTAGTTGAGAGGTATCTCTCAGAGATGCTTTCAGTACATTGTGTTAGTGTTTCTTGTTTTACTTCTCTGAATGCATTGTCTTTAAAATCTTCCAAAGCAAAATTCTACAGGATATTTCACTGCTACTTGTCAGCTAAAAAAGCCAGTGTGGTGTCAGTGGTTAAGAGTGCAGGACTGGGACTCAGGCAATCTGAGTTCTAGTCTCCACTCAGCTATGGAACTAACTGGGTAACTTTGGACCAGTCACACACTCTCCATCTAAACTACCTCACAGGCTGTGATAAGTTTGAAAGGAGAAGAATTATTTAAGCCACCTCAAGTTCCTTGAAAGGAAAAATGACAGAATATAAATATAATAATAAATACACTGAAGTGCAGGTAATGTAATAAATATAATGCAAAACTACAAGCAAACAAGCTAAATGCCTCCTAATAGCACATCTAGTTTATCATTCCTATATAAAATTAAATAAAGTATAAGCAAAATAGCCTCTAGAATTTTGCTTTGGAAGATTTTCTATGGCACAACTTAAAGACACTTTACTAAACAATATTTAGATTCTAAATACTGCAAGTAAAGAAATAAAAAAGAAAACACTAACACAGTGTTGTTGGCTAGCTTTAAAACAACATCCCTTAATATAAGAAATGACGCTACTAAAATTCCTCAAGGTTAAATACAAGGCAATTCAGATTAGTGACTACCAATATAACCTGCTTAGTGAAGCAAAATCAAATGAATCCCCTTTGTTCCTTTGATGGATCAAAGTATATTAATCCTGCCTGGCTTTATTATGCACAGAAATTCCTTAATTGGGAAACCAAAATGCAGCAAAGTCAGATAGAGGCTCCATCAGCATTTTGGCCAGGGAGTGAAGTACACTGGCTGGACCACACTCAGTGACATCATGCAGGGGACACTGGACGACCCCTCCACGAAGCCCACAGAGATCAGGATAGGGAATCATCCAGTCTACATTGGTTTTCCATCCCTGATCTAGCATTTCCCCTTGAGCTGCCAACATACTGAGGTGTGGATAGTTTAAACCATGGGTCCTCAAACTATGGCCTTCCATCCGGCCTGTACCGCCGTTCCCTGCCCTTGTGCACACTTGCTGCACGGGTGGGGAGGTGTTGGCTTGTTCACTCGGAGATGGTTTTGGACTCGCTGGGAGATTTCTGAGGGAGCGAGTCACCAAGCCACCTCGTGCGCGCCTGACGGCACCTCACCAGCCCGCACTCCCAGGCACCCCCACCCCACCGGCCTGCGACAGTTACCGCAGCCTTTCAATTTGGCCCCTATTCAAAAAGTCTGAGAACCCGTGGTTTAAACAGAATAAACAGATGGCAGGTTTGTAACAAGACAACAAGGAAAATTAAATTCCTTATTTTGACATTCATTTGGCATTTCCACATCATATTAAAATATGTATACTCCAGAGAAGGATGGAACTCTCAAAGCCTGAATTTTATGAGCAAACATGTGGAACAAAAATTCTAGAGATGCATACATCATGTTACTTTCTGATCACTTTCTATTAAAAATACCACTTGTTTCTAACTTCAAGCAAACCACAACTGTAAATACACCCAGTATCAAATGGTATTCATTACATACGTTCTCCTTCCTTGAATATGTTTTCTTCCTCTGGAGTTTCAAGAATCAATGGATTCACAAACGCTGGCCTATGGAGACACACAAAAATATATTTAGACCAATATGCTTTATAAAAGAAGAAATGAACAAGGAGGCTCTCCCTTTGGCTCCACCACTGCATATATGATTTCTGTTTTAGTAAACGAGCATGCATGTGCCTGCTTAAGTGGTTTTTTAAGACAGCAGCATTTACTTATGTTCACTCAGAATATATACTTTATTTAACCTGAAAAGATGGTGAGCTGAACAGAATAGCCTAGGGAGACTACCATAGCTTGTCATTGGTCCCCAGATCTTTCTGGACCAGAGGGCACATCTGAAATCTAAGAAGGTATTGATGGTGCCATGACAAATGGGCTGCCATGGAAGGGGTGCTCATTAACAAAATGGCAGCTGGGCTGTGTGAGGCCACCCCATTTCACAGAAAGGCAAACTGGTGAGTCTAAGAAACAAGTAACTTGCCAAGAACCATTGAACAAAAGGCAAAGGCAAGCTATGAGTCTCAAAATAAAAAGCCGTACCTTTGAACCCACAGTTTCCTCTCTCATTCAAGATCTCACTCTCCTAGCACACAAGAATCATTCACCCATTGTTTCACCCATTCTCTTCCCATCACCAACACACACACACACCAAAATATATCCACATTCCTCCTTGCTTTCTTATCCTCTCAGATCTTACTGCAAGCCACCCAATAAGCTCCCACTGCTCCCCTGCCCCATCCCCCACAGCAAACTATGTAGCAAGCTTTTCATTTCATTCTGTTTCATTTTTAAAAATATTTTTTGGTGGGAGTCACCTGACCCTCTTTCTTTCTTTCTCCAGAATGACGAATGGGCCCACATGGGCCCAGAGGCACTTCTCTAAAGAGAAAGGGTAGAGCAGTTGGACGTGGGCATTTTGCTTTCTAGTCCAAGATTAAAAGAATTTAAATAACACACACCTCAGTTGGGAGGGAGGGAATGCCAGTGGTTAGCAAAGGAGTTGCAGGGGTCAGTGGGGTCCCAGGGATTCCAGGCTGCTAACTCCATGCTTAACAGATGCCCGGTCTACTTCAAATCTCCATATGTACACATAATTTATTTTGTATCTTAGGTGCTCATGCAAAGCATTATATTGTACAATCCAACCTTGAACACATTCTAAACTATAAAAATATACTTTTGTACATGCAAAAACTATCAATTTATTATACTATTTATTATACATTAAAAAGTAGCTTTTATTGGTACTTTTCCCCATCATGTCCTGAAAACTCTTATAATGAATTAGCTGCAAAAGATGTGCAGGATCACATCATTACAACATGGGAATGGCCAGATGTGACTGTGAGATCCACATGCATCTCTGAAGTTGCTGTCCGACTGTCCCCCCTTTTACAATGGCCAGCAAGTGAAGCCATTTTCTGGCCACTTCCCAAGAATTGGGCTCAGACTTTAAGCACAGGAGTAAGGAAGCAGGAAGTAGGAAACACCCTTAAGTGATAACAAAGGGGAGAAGGGTGCTTCTTAATAATCTGCTTTAAGGAATCAAGAATTGGAAGGACAATACCACCCACTTTATTCTCATGGCTACCCACATGTCTCAGAGAACATCCTATATGGAAGTATAATTGAGATAGTTATAGCCCTTTCACACTGCCCCTCCCCACCAAAAAGCCCCACTCATTCGAAAATCCTATAGGCCTGATTCTTTCTCAGACCTGGACTTTCAAAAGCTACTTCTGGCAATTTACCAGGCAAGTTGCAAAAACTCTGTTCTCCCTCCATATGCCTAGATACTTTTCAAAAAAATTGATATGGAGTCTGTGGTGTGGATAAGGCAAAACATTTGCTATAATTTCTTGTGGGCTAAATCCAAAGGGGAAAAGGATGCCAATACTGTAGGGGCTTTTTTCAATGCCCCTACAAACTGCTTGACCATGCAACAATAGCACTTCTCTGTTCGGGAACTAGACATTTACAATTTAAGATTTATTGTTGCTCTTGTTTCAGGCCTTCCTTATTTATTTATTTATTTATTTAGAAAATTTCTATGACGCCCCATTCGCCGAAGCCCCAGGGCGGCTCACAAAACATGAAAATATAATACATTAAAAATATAAAATGAATTTACAATATAAAATAAGTCGCCCTGGCCAAAGAATAAAATAAGGAAATAATATTAGCAATTAAAATGATGTTTGAATAAAAAGGTCTTCGCCTGGCGCCGAAAAACAAATAATGACGGCGCCAGGTGGACCTCTCTGGGGAGCACATTCCATAGACTGGGCACCACCGCAGAGAAATTAGAGTATATCTAATTACTACAGAAAATTTCTGATCACGTTCCAGTCCATTTGGCATGTGATGCACTAATTCGGTTTACTGCTCTAAGCCAGAATAGAATCACATTCACAGAAAATGGGTCACAACAACCTTTGAAGCCTGTGAGCACATTTGGCATTTTAGCAGCTGTCCGGGGAACAACCATAAAATGGCTGCCATGGATGAGCATGGCTAATCACATAGGACAAGGAACGTGCCAGGAGGCATTCATGGGACATTACAAGAGGAGTAGCTGGATGCTCCCACTTTGCTTTGATGCAAGTCTAGCTGCCAGTAAGAAAATATTAAAACATTTCAAAAAGTTAATTAGAAAGAAAGGCGTGTCTTTGTGGACACCAAGTAAAGAGTTCAGGGGCACCACATTGCCTGTCTCTGGCTTGTGGGGTTTTTTAAGCCTGAAAGAAGGCAAGAGCCTTGCTTATGTCTTGATCACCTGGAAGTCATGGATATGACAAAAAGTACTTTTTACATCCTACAGCCTTCTAGGATTAATATATTTAAATGAAGCCTCTCTGCATTCTCCTTATTTATGCATAAACGTTCTACCTCCATGTTTTTTCCCTTTCCTCCTCTACCACCAAAAGATTATTCCACCTGTGAACTATTTCCAATGGCTTGCTCGAAACATTACCTTTTATTTTCTGGATCTCGGGCCACCATGACAAAAGTTGCATCTAACACGGGGCAATAGACACCATTAAGTAACTGAAAGAAAATTAAAAGGAGGAAAATACTGCTTAACAAGTTATTCAGTTTCTACTGATTCCAATGAAGATCTTGGTGTTTTGGCTTCATGTTGGTTTGAAACTCCATGAACCTCTGCATAGGAATAAAATGGAAAAAGGCCAGCACCCATTTCATTAAAAGCATTGCTTCAGTATTCACATATACTTTAGTTTTTATAGCGATGAATTACAAATCTTTCACAATTTATAGTTAAAATTGCAAATGATAACAAATGTGAGCTGAAACGCCCCTTATTATTACATTGACAGACAATCCAGGAACTTCCAGATGTCACAAGACAACAACTCCCATCATCCCTTGCCATTGATTTCACTGGCTAAGGCTGATGGGAACTGTAGCCCAACAACATCTGGGGATGCCTGATGCTTCCTTACATCACCATTTCTGAAATCCTGGACCAAAACTGTCCTATAACAACTCTACCATTAGGACACCATATGCTGGTAACTGTCACCACAGATAGAGCTACTCTTATGGGTTCTATTTAATTCTATAGAATACATTCCTCTTACACAAGAGCCCTGATCTCACATGCCTGAAAGATCAAACATCTGTATCTGAAAATAAAAACTGCTTAAGGAGAGACTGTCCAAGATTACAACAAGGATCAGTGAAAGTGAACTTTCTTTTGATTTCAGTCAGCACTCTGCTTTTTCCTCCAAAAGAAAGTCCAAAGGGACTAACAGTAGACAAAAGAAAACAGCAAAAGACAAAAAATATGAAATATTAGGTAACTCTAAAAATGCCACTGTAACTTTTCCTTTGCTGTGCATAATTGTGGTTTTCATATGAATAATGAATGGGATAAAAGTTCCTGGGAATTATGGGTTGGATCCCGCATATGCCTTCCAGGGACAGAAGGGACTCATGCAAGGTGCCTCCACCTAATTCTGGAGAGATTTCCCCCTGCCACTCAGCACTGCAACCCTCAGTGTAGCGTTTCCACTGGGCTGAAAAGCCGGCTGTGGTGAGGAGGGGACAGTGGAGTCCACTTTGACCTACCCCCTTGCATACTGCTAAATCTGGATCCAAGGCTATACAGAGCAAATTTGTATGACTATTCTAGTTCGTGTATTTGTAAAACATAGAAAATGACTGTTCAGTTGATGAACAATACAAAATGTATAAGCAACATACCAAACAAGGGAAACAGCCAGCCAAATTGCAGCCAAAAATGTACATTATCCTAATTGTGTAGCTGCAAGTTAGTTTCTTATTTATGGTAGCGTAAGAAATTATGACCACCATATATCAGGAGCTGAGGATCAAGTAAAACTCACAGATGCACAGTTTCACCTCTGAAAGCCTTCCTTGGCTTGGCTTTCAGACCGCCATACTCCAGTACCCAGCCATTTGAACACCATGTTACAGAAGCTAGACAGACTACAGAACCAGCAAAAGCTAAGAGAAGAATTAGGGACAGCAATGCGGAGCTGGCTGGTGCCGGAGGTCAGACTAGATGGCCTGGGAGACCCCTTCTGACTTGCTCTGTTTCTATGTTTCTAAGAATAGCAGAGGGTACAAACAGCACTCATTAACTAACCTGAAGCATGTGCATCTTCACTTCCATGGATGTTTTTCCTACCCATGAAACATTTCCAGTGAACTTGATATCAAGATCGGGATGAATGTGCTGCTCCCACAACCCTGAAAGCATACAAGACACCAACACAGAAGCTACATCTGGATTCTTTAGGCCGGGACTAGACAACATGTTTTGTACAACTCCCATAATCAGTTACTATTGACCATGCAGGCAGAAGCTGATGGATGCAGTAGTCCAAAACATCTGGAGAGCATCAGGTTGCCTTCCCCTGTGAGGATGACTTTCTACTGTTTCGCTATGGCACACTACAGAACAACTGGAAAATGAAGGATGCACACAAGGTTCACACAGTTCTGGTCCCTGCTGACCCATCTGCCATCCCTGTTTTACCATCAGCTACATGTTGGAAAAGCATTTTGTAATCTTGTATAATGCCTAACAGATTTTAAGCTCGACATTTAATATTTAAGCATGTTTTCCTGCCCTGTCTACATTACTGACTGCTTCTGGGGGTGCCAGGCTGGGAGTGCAAGCAGGGAATGACAATTATATTACACAACATGTTTCCCTGAGCAAATATTACAGAGAGAAAGGATGCACAGATGTCATTTTGGCAACAAATGTACCTTAATATTTATTGAACTCTTGGAAAGGGGTGTAGTTTTTTGCTGCCCTTCCCTCTAATATCTGGGTCAGAATTAAGGGCAGTCTTCCTACTGTCACCCAACACAGTATATACTCCCAATAAAGGCATTAAACTATTAATAAATGAAACAACACTGTACCAATTTTATCCACCAATGCTGTAACGATTGATAAAGGAGATTTCTGAGTCCCTTCTTGTTTTGTGTGAGTATAACAAATGAGAACTGTAGAAAAACAATAAAGAGGTGCTGCATTAATGATTCTCTGCAAAGATGAGGTCTTTGTGCCATCAAAAGTTTTCTTAAGAGTACCAGCAAGCACAGAAAGTTCATGAAACATCCCATTCACAATTGATTCAATTTGTCAGATAAAGAGCACAAACAGATGCACTGCAGAGGTTACAAACAGCAAACCTTCTGGATTTTGGAGATGGTTCTAAACACGTGCATTTAGTATCAGACATGTTGCTAAGCATTTAATGAGGTTTATGGCCCAGGTATATAGGACATAAATCTGCATAAAATGTACTTGTTGATTTATAATTTACATATGCAAAAGTAGAAATGATTATTAGAATGCATTTAAATTTCACAGGAGGCAAAGTCATGTCAGTATTTTCAGGCCCAAACAATCTTAAAAACAAACAAACAATTAATTCACAGCTTGTCCCATATCCTTCCAATGGAAAAACAGTTTTTTCCCCTAAGTTTAATTGCTATGCAGACAGAAATGGGGCAGCAAACCAGTGGGAATGCTGAGGCATACGGAGAATGGACAGTTAGCCTTTCCCCACAACAGCTGCACTCCCCCTTGAAAATCTCTCTCTCTCTCTCTCTCTCTCTCTCTCTCTCTCTCTCTCTCTCTCTCTCT